TGGTTATTTAACGAATAATATCGGCACCAGGTTATTGAGCGGATTGGAATCATGATGGTGAAACTTTCCCTTTAATTTTTGGAAGAAATTGGAATGGGATGGAAAAAGTCGCGCCAGGTAGGGGTCGAACCTACGACTTTCTGCTTAGGAAACAGACGCTCTATCCACTGAGCTACAGGCGCCTTTGATGCTGAATTTAACTCCGGAATCAACTATTTTATGCAGATTTTGTAAATTGACTAAACGTCACGAGATCGAACAACTTGATTCTATTTTGCAATTCTACAACGTGCGATCTGGATTATGGAAAAAATGATTTTATTTGGAGTTCAGAAATTATTTTGTGGAAATTTTAAAACATAATTTTACAATTATTAGTCAAATAATAGTAAATGAGTTGAGTAAATATATAATTGTGATACAAACGGATCAACATTGGTTCTTTTATACTTGTATCAAATTTATCCCAGGAAAGAGAGATTGAAGGCAAGGGCTGAATAGGAGGGAGTTTTCACATTTCAGCTGCATACAAGTAATTACATTTCGGATATCAGGACTTCACGGCGACAAAAGAAACCCCATGTTCAAATATTATCCATAGATCCGTAAATTATAATAAACAAAAAACCCTCTCCAGTGTGTCCAGGCATGCCGATACAGTTTTGAATTATGGGGCAAAAGATCCAATAAACTTCAGTGTGTTCCATCCTCCAAGTTCCTTTTTCAATTGACAGACAGACTGCATACAGGGTGGTTTAACATTCTTGAGTAACCTTTTATCAACACTGAAAAAGGGAAATAATTTTCAATCTTCACTAAAGGGTTTCTTTTTACAACCATAATTTCCCCAGTTTATATAACATGGAATACAACAAAAAGAAGGGGTTGCGAAAATAAAGCAAAGAAAAGAACAAAAGAAATAAGAGGACAAAAAGCTGGATTATTAAAGGCTTAACTATAGCCACTATACAACCAAAATGTAGATACGTATCATAAATTACACAAAACCATACAAAATTCCCGGATTTTTCAACGCTGGGAAGCACCTTGAAAATACTGGCAAAAAAGGAAGTTCGTACCAACCATAAGAAGCAAGATACATTTGGGAGTCAAGGCCCCCTTTTCCCCATGCTAAATCAATGATTATAGCCTAAGAAACCGTCGCGGAAAAACTAGGGGAGAAAGAAAACTACCACGCTATTCCTTTTCTGCCTTTCATTCTCCTTTCAGTGTCCCAGTCTTCAGATTGTCCTCTAGCAAGCATATTTATTTCTTCTTAATTGAATATTTTGACAGGCTTCTCAAATGTATGTCGGTTCTGCAATTATCAGAAAAAACATAACGATTTGAAAACACGGTCCAGGATATATACATTCTTTCTGGAGGAAACCTCAAAACCTTTAAAAATATAATAAAAAGTAGAAACACAACTCGATTTTGAATATACTTCAGAAATATCAGATGAGAATTCTCAATATTGGTGCCTCTCCTATTATCCGTCCAGTGTCGAACAATAATATAAATCATACACGAACTATATCAATAAAAAAATCTACCTGGTTTGCAGTATACACCCTCTTTGGAGTAGTATCAGAGTGCTCTAACCCAAGGTACTGCTCCCAAGCACCGTAAACGTCCCTTCTCTGGAAAAGGATAATACAGGTTCAAGAAAAAAAGAACAACTAAATAAGACCGAAAAAAAAAAAAAAAATTAGAACAAAAAATATGACCTGAAAACGACTGGACACAATGTCAGAGTCTTCAAGATACTCTGGACGACCCAGTGACAATGCAGCAAACTTCCACTGAACATTAAATACAGAATCGAATGAACAAAAGTTTAACTTAGCAGTTAAACTACACAAAACAATTCAGCAGAATCAACTTGTAGGAAGTGAAGCATAATTATTCAATTCTGCATTTATACTGTTAATACCTTAGAAAACTCCTCGTCTGGAACCTGTAATTTCTTTTGAATGCGCAATTTAATATCTGACAGCATTTCACCTTCATGAATAACCAAGAAGAAGGGTTCCCCGAAATTTTGGATTTGCTGTTTAGAAAAAACAAAAAACAAAAATTGAGACAGTAACTTGGTCCAAATACGATCAAATGGCATTAAATGTAATCAACATAGAAAATATGTCAGTGATTAGGTACCACTTGATTCTGAGCACTCTCTTTCGTAAAATGGTAAACATGAATCAAGCGGTCATTTGGACCGAGGTTCTTCTCTTCTTCTGGAATCTGAGATAAAGAACATACCACATTTTTAAGTAAAAGACATTGGAATTAAAATTTGAATGAAAACACCTTGCATAAAAATAAATAAAATAGAATAAAAATTCTGTGAATGAATATCCAAGTACCAAAGTAAAAACTCCTATAGAAGTGGCAAAATATTCATATAAGGACAAACTGAAACAATTTCCAAAATAGTACCCATTGCTAAGCTAAACATAAGAGCAGATGTGAAACTTTTAAAGCAGCTTTTTGGCTCTTCCTCAATTAAAATCAATCAGTTTTATCTCTAACTTCAGAAGATAATAAATAGCAAGGTTTCAAACCAAAGATAAAACTGTATGTGCATCAAAATAGAGCAAGCAAAGAGCGCAAGAATGAGATTTTGAAAGCAGAAGAGCTCACCTCCTCAGCCCGCAAGGTCCAGTATTGGTCGTTTATATTCTCAATCTTTTCATTGAAAGGAAAGATCTGCAAAAGTTGGGAAACAATACATTAATTACATCACGAAAAAAAAAAAAAAGAACTTTGTTTCGATAAAAGATTCAAATCCATTCAATAATCACAAATGTGGCTCGGGATATCAAATTAGCATGTTCCTGTAAAAGAGTGTGTCTACGGAAGGCTCTCCAAACCATGTAAAGACAATTTTTTTTTCAGAGCGAAACAACCTCAGAAGTAGCTAGCAGTTCAATCGAAGAAAAGAGCACCTATAGTAAAGTAACAAAATACAGAAATCCAACTCTACAAGTCTGCATATGACAAGCCTACAAAGAAAGGTGCGCCGCAGTTCAGAAAAATTTATGCCAACAATATCGGGGTCAATCTATTCAGCTTCAGCACAAGGGACATTACCTTATAAATTTTGTGATAGAAAACTTCAAGCAACCTAAGTTCGGCATTTGGATGTGACAACTCAACCTGCAGAAAGACATGAAAATAATTTCAATCTTAACTCACCTAAAGAATACAATGCAGAGCTGAATTGGAACCAGGAAAATCAATTATTACAGGTCAACTTCATTTTCCATTATACATCTTTTTTCCCACAAGACAAAAGCTGAAGAGCAAAATTAACTCCAACAGCTAATGGAAATTTAAAAGGAATAATGAAGAAAATAGAAGTTCCACTTTTTGAAAATAATAAAGTGCAGATTAGCATGCTTAGAGCAATGAACTAACCTTTTCTTTTATCACATTAAGCACATCTCCCACTGTACCCTGTTTTGGTAACCTTATATTGAGAATTACAGCCTGAAAAAAACATTGTGTCAATGGCTACAAGGTGTACTCAAAATCAAGTTGAAGAGATGGAACAACGGATCGAAGTCATAGGTGTAAACCTCATCCTTTGTGGCAGAGTGAAAAGCAACTTTCAGTGTTTTGAGGCATTGTAATTGTGGCAGAGGAATGTCCAGTACTTCATAATAAAGAATATCAGAGATCTATCAAAAGGAAACCAGAAATTATGAATCCATGGACTAATCACACCCCTGACAACAAAAAAGGAAAAAAGCAGAATTCATGTTAGATCTACCTGATTGTAGTGCACAAGCATGTCTATCAACTGATCAACTGATCTGTATTTGATGGGAGTAGGCTTTGGTTGCTGAGAATAGCAATTATGAGTAGTAAGCCGAATTTTAGATGGATCATCCAAGCCGAGACGTTGCGCCAGCCTTTCCACAACATCATCGTAAGTGTGGTTCTTTGCCCTGCAGATTTATGCCAATACGGTTAAAAACACATAATGCTCAATGTTGCTCAAAATTACGTAAAAAGAATAACCATACAACTAGTACAGTCCTCCATTGTCTGCAATAATGGTATCAGAAAGTACTCACAACTCTAGGCAGAATTCATCTTCCTTGGGTCTCTCCAAAGCTCGAAAATGGACAATCTGCAAATGATAAATCCATATTAAAACTGGTAAGAAGAAGGGGTAAGAAAATGCAGAAGAACCGCATTCACATTCTTAGTACCACAAAATAAATAATTCAGAAGTACGATAAAGAAGGAATGACACTGTAACAACCCATTGAAAATGTCAAAAGACTGCGATGAGAGGACAGAAGCAAGTGATGACTGAGAGACTGCAAGATGTAACCAGACTTCACAAAAATGGCTCCACTCATTTTCCACATATGGTCTGTGGCTTGAGTTCAATTGATAGCATAATGCAAATTCATATACTTCACATCTTTTTAAGCATTAATCTCTAAAACTCAAAGTTAAACCTATTTATTCCTTTAGAGATTTATATTGCTGCATAGGAAGTGTATCATATCCCCTCCACCAAAAATATAAAAAACTAAAAGGAGATCCCCCTATGGCCTGTCTCTGGACATCTTAACATGTCAGAAATAAGGAAGAATTAAGAAACCCGACGTACATTTATTACCTACAGTGTAGTATGTATGAATTCAGTCCATGTTCCCGGACGACAGTGCAGATCTATTAAGCCAGACAATTATGACGCTAACCACTGTAGATATGGTGGTTATTGAGTATATGCCTCTAACAAGCATACCACTCCATAAATTCCAATCACAGGCATATAATTGTAAATAACTAAAATATGCATTGTGTTTAGGTTAGACTATTTTATTTTGTTCAATTAGTAGAAGGCTTTGATTGTGCCACAAAAATTAGAAAGCATGCACCATTTCTTCAAATATCAAAAGTAAAGAAAGGAGAGAGGAAAAAATGAAGACGAACACTTGTAACACATAAAAAGTACAAAATTTACCTGGCGATTTTTCACATATTCCAAAAAAGAAGGAACATCAGGAAATCGCAATTTTTCTTCACTTTCAGGGAGAGGCTTTTTCTGGAAGCAAATGATGTCCCCATCTTCAATCTGAGGGAAAGGGGGGAAAAGCAAGGGTGTGGGGAATTAGCAAATAAAAAAGATAGGACAATATCTTCAAATGCTCAACAGCCCAATATAATAATAAATACCTGGCTAAACCGAAATGAAGCTCGTTTGTCAAGGCGCTCACACATGACAGAAGGCTCAAATTTTATTTCCTGTAGCAATAACAAAGAAGGGGATTGTTCATGGATGATGATGCACATTATGGGGGTGCTTGATTCCCATTTTTCCTAAAATACATTTTTCTCTCTCTTGTCAACCACATATTCTTCATTAAAATATTATTACACGCAAAAAAAAAATTAAAAAAAATCTTTCTTTTTCAACCACATTCTCTATCAATCTACTATTCCAAAACACATTCTACAAAAAGAATGGGCTCCAAGACACCCTATATTTGGGTGCCAGTGTGCATGTGCTGTAAGGCACTAATCAGACCAACCTCGAAAAGTTCAATCTCTTCATCAGAAGCAAATCCAGCCAATTCATTTAGTTTTGTCAGGATCTCAATTGGCTTGCTAGAGCCTTTGACAAAAAGCCTACCAACATACCTGGAAACAGAGAATGAATAACGTAGTCAAAAGGTATGGATGCACATAAAAACACCAATACACACACACATATACACACTTAAAAGCACAAAATTACCGGAGCTCTTCTTTATCGGGATCATAAAGCTTAAAGAACAGAAGAATATCTTCTTTACTTTTGTCAGGTGGTGGAATTGGATGTAGATCCTATGTATAGAACGTTTATCAATAAATTACAGTCAGAACAGATAATAGAATCACATTGACAACAGCAGTCAAGATAATCTAGTAGACAGTTAAAAGATACCTGTCCAAATTCTATTTCCAAAAACAACTTCAGATCTGCATTGTGGGCCTTATTAGAAACTTCTCTCAATGCTCCGACCTGTACAGTATCATTATCAGTTCATCACAAGGTGAATAAATATTTCCAAACTAGAAAAATCAAATGAAATAGCAAATAAAGGATATGTCCTACGAAGTTCATGAAATATTAGAACGAAAGTGATTGTGATTAAGACAATCAATCTAGACTGCCAAAATGAAATAAGGCAGTGAATAGACAACCAGACAGCATATAGGAAGAAAAATCAACAAACGCGCAAAACCACACCATAAAATTGATTTTAGACTGTAATTATCAGCTTCCTAAAGCTGATATGTTTTTGATAATGCTTTTATGCTATAAAATTTTCCATTTACACAGATCAAATATGTCGTTCATGGATTTGGATCAGGAAAAAAAAGAAATTCAGAATGATGGTGATTGTTTGCTCAAAACATTTCTAACGAAGATGTTCACGAATAATTTAACGGAGTATTTTGTGAACTATAATGAAGAAAAAAATAAATAAAATAAAAACTAAGTCAAAGGTGGAAAAGAGAGAATTGGCCATACAGTAATATAGATGCAGAAATCGCACACAGAAAGATGATAAGAGCGAATAGTCAGAAGAAAGACGAATTTAGGGTGAAAGAAAACTGTAATTCAATATCAATAATCAATAACAGTTTAAATACAATGAAATCCTAAATTCCCTTTTAAAGGTAAAGAACTTTTAATATATCAAAAACTAATCAAATAAACAAGACTAATTAATCAAACTACTGAAACTTAATCTAACTTAGAACTATATCTTCAATCCTAATCAGCTTTAAATAACTTCCATTCCTATCCTTGTTCTCCATCAAAAATAGTTCCAGTGTTGTGCAATTACTTGCTTCCAATCAATGGAAGAACTTCGTCACCACTAACGTGGGTTATGGCTATTAGTTATGATTCTATTTCATTTTTGTTTTGCCTGGTGGATTAGGAGTGATCAGATTTTGATCGATTACTCTGCATTTACCCTTTTCCAGGTAAGTATTCCACGTCTTCAATTAATGAGTACAATGCCTATCCACACCAAGATAGAGAAAAAGAAAAATTAACATGAACAAAAGGAAAATAATTGGAAGAGTATTTGATCCCTGCCCTATGCCATTTTTAAAGCCATCAACGAGCAACTATGCTCTAAGTGAAGGTCTAAGAAAACTATCAACTGCAAGAAAGTTCAATCTCTAAATGTCAACATAGAAGACAACCTTAAAAATCATTAGCAAATATATAATTCATCCCAGCCAAGCTTATTGCCATTTAGGGTTGGTTATAAGAAGCATTTGCCATTTTCTTTATTTATGGTTACAAATTCATTTAAGCACAGTTTACTGCTGCTCTTGAAGAGGTTCACAAACCCCACTCAAAACAGGATGATTCTTTTTTTCATTTTTCCCAGTTGTTTGAGATTATTTTCTTATCTATCAGTAATTCTTGTCCAAAAACCTGAAAGTCAACTCTAATTTAGCCACTTTGCAGTATCCAGCTTCTCCACAATCTTTGTTCACGGGCTGTTTACCGTACACAACACGTTCTTGCAACTGATTATAAATAAAAAATTTTGTCAAACCACCTTGTTACAATATTTTCTAAACAACTAAACCTTCTTTAGGTCCATCTCATTGCCAATTATGATATAATAGTTTGTAAATTGGTGCTCTTTGTACTTGCCTTAAATCATAAACCAATCATCCTCTCAATGTTAAGTTGGCATAAGGAATGTGTATCCTTCAACGCAATAAGTGCAAATACTAAAGTTGTAATCAGCTACTATCATCATTATGTTAAAATATCAATAACGAGAAGGAAACAGTAAATTACAGTCTGTGCTTCCTCCTGTGGGTTCAATGGACGGTTTGGACGATAAGTATGGTTCTGTCTCTTTGCCCAAATCCAAAAACGCTGAAATTGGACTGGTATACCAAATTCTTTGGCGACCTCCTCCTGTAACAATCAGAAAGATGTATACATTTACTTTAAAATGTGTCAAGTTGATACAATTATTTAACCCAGACATGCTGTGGACAACTGACGATCATAAGTGGAAAATAAAATGGAAGTTCGGATAACTAGAATAATGCAAATGAATATTTTGCATGCAAGATCATAAAGGACAAAGGAACAGAAAAAATACTGCTTCATATGTATATCACAGCATTAGATATGGCAGGAATCATAAACTGTGATTCCACGTAAGCTTAGTGGCTTACATGGAAATATGGAGATGAAGAGCCAGCCAGAGCAGTTATTAGTTACAAGAATAAATATAGTGACTGAGATTTGTTTCTAGAGGAAGGGTGGCAGCTGAAGACCTGAATGGGGGGTTGAATCTCCTTTGCAAGACAGATCATTTAAACAAGGTCTCAAGCGAACTTACCCCTCTCCCCCCATCCGCTAGTGAGCCAACACCAATGCTATAAGAACTATAAATATAAACCACAAATAATGAGATGAAAACCATGTTGGATTTGAATAATACATTAACAGGCAAAAAATATAGATTTAAAAAAAATGGGAAAAATTTAGTTAAGGAGAGGCTGAACCCTAACACATATCATGTTGTTAGAAGTATCATTGAGGTCTAGAAAGCCTTAAAGTTTGGCTTTAGTTTTTACATTGATTAAAAGAAACCTGTGTTCGTATACTTTTAGGGTATGCAATGTTTAAAAAGGCGTAATCAGGCACTGAGGCATTCATTCAATTTACTTTGGCCTGCAGTTCGACCCTGATACAACCCTTGACACGTAAGCCTTTAACTTTTCTGGGTCAATTTCCAGGCCAGGCTTTCAAAACATAGATACTTACCACATTTGGGTTTTCAAGTGCTATGCAACTGTCTCACAAATAAATGTGTTTAACGTATGTTCAGGTAAAAAATTGCTCTACATTCATTACGCAGAAACAAATAAAACCAGTCTCAAGTTTCATTTCATTAATAATAACAGACAAGATAAGCAAAGTAAGATCACCTTGAAAAGATTAAAAGGTATCTGTTTCTGAATTCGAAAACTATGGACTTTATCATGATCAACGAGATCAAAAAATATATCCTTCCCAATCTGTTCCCTTAAATCCACGTCTCGAGCAACCTGCATATGCCAGTAAATTGCTTTAGTGAAGATCAAGCTTACATGAGAAAAATGGTCCACTAGGACAACCTTGATATTAGTATAAAGGTGGGCCTGAGCTTTATATCTTCTCTTGTCTTCCTTCTGTTCTTGTTCTTTTTTCAGTCTTATCTGGAATAAGTAAAGGATGTAAGGTTGTAAGGTTTTATAACACAACTCAATACATCAAATAGGATGAAAGAATGAATTCCAGATCTAGAAATTAACAAGTTTACCCTAAGATGTTCCGCAATGTCCTTCTCATCCACATCACAGATTATCTTATCCTTGTCGCTCACACGTATATACACAAGCATGTAGGCATTTGAGTATTTCGTAAATTTAAATGGAGTGTTATAGAAACCAGGATTTGTCTGCGGCAACTGTTGGACAAAATGAATATTAGAAACAGAATAAAAATGGAAATGCAACAGGATATAAATGTTGGGATCAAACCTCTTCCTCACCGCCATACTGCTCCTCTAATGCTCTCTTTGTATCTTCTTTAGTGACCCTCTCATCATCAAATTTGTACCTATAAGGGAACCACAAACCTCAAAGTAAGCCGCCTCATATGATGTTCAAGTACTTTTAAATCATAATCAAAACTCATATTCTCACACACACCAATAAAGAAATAAACATGTACAGATGGGATGCGTGTGAATGAAGTCCCAAAGCAACTAAGACTAAATGAACAAGTGATTAAAAATGCACATCAACATATAAGAATGGAACTTCAGTTGAACACACCTCACCTCCCCGAAGAGTACAAATGTATAACCCTTCACAACAAGAGGAGAACATGCACACACATAGGTTGGGGGAGGGAGAGATTCTTCAGGGTATGACACGTACCACTGATCAGAAAGGGTTGGCCTGATGAAAGCATAATAATGTCCACCATGCACCCCACCACTATGAACCAGAACACTGTTGCAAAACAAGAGAATAAAAAGCGGGACTGGTAAGTGAAAACATCGCATAACAGGAACATTTATCAATACCAAAATAGTGAATATTATCAAAGAAGCACCTCTAATATGCCTTGCCCCTCACTTATACACCCTCAACATATTATTAAGAGGACAACTTCTAATGCCAACACACGTTCAGATTTCACGTCAAAAACTTGACCGACCTTTTAACTTAAAGATATTTCAAGTAACGTACCCAAGATCACAAGGCCGATCTAATGAAAGTTATACAGTATGCCCAAAGAAGTGCACCTCAAACATGGATGGTCTAACTATTATGAAGGCTACCAGTGATCTATTGTTCACCAAGGCTTCTCAATACATATCAAAACAACTGGCCAATTACAGGAAGGAAAAAGTGAATTACTCGGATCAGCGTCTAAATCAATTGCACAAATAAATAGAAAAACAATTTGACAATATCGAAAAGGGCACATGTTTCATACGGGGACAGCAAGTAGACTGCTTTGTTTAACATCATTATTCAATGTGCCTTTCTCATATCAGATTAAGCATCATAACTCAATCAGTTACAGAGACACAAACATTTCATTCATATTACCACATTGCTCCACATACCTCATAACCAGATTTCCAACTGCATGGTCAAATCAATCAATTACAGAGAAACCATCAAACCAATATTTCGTCCTAAAATGACTACATTTGATCCACACCTCGCAACTAGATTTCCAGTTGGATATCCCAACTTCCAAGAAAACACAATCAAAGGATTTTAAGAAAATATGTAAATTTTTCAGCTATTAAGATGGTAAGCAACTCAAGACACAATGTGAGTCAGGAAGTTACAAGCAGCGAGAAGATTCTACAGGAAACAAGGATAAGCAAATGGAAAAAAGAACCAAGAGCAACCAATGCAGGTCTCCAGATGCGTGTTGGGGAAGGCAATTCGATTGAGGAGGTGTAATAGAGGAGCTCATCCCATTACACGAAAATCTGTAACGAGATTTCTCACTCGAGCATTTGTTCTTTCTGATCCCTTTCTAATTCAGTGACAGTTTCTTACCCACCTTGCAAGTTCAATGGACACGCACATATACGCAGGCAGATATATGGATACATCGGACAGTAGAGGAGAGGGAGGGAGAGAAAACTACCTATGGAGCATGTAAAGGTTACGTACGCTCCTATCTGCATCAGGCGACAAATATTTACCATTGTCTCTATCAAGGTCAAGTTCCAGTGGAAATTCATAGCGGTCATTTATCTGCACCATGAAAGTGATTTTTAGCCATTGAACCAAAATGAGAAATACTATATTACGAAATGATAAATATATCACATCAATGCGAGGGGCTTTGATTTACAATCACCAGGTGTAAACTATACCAATGGATGATCACTTACAATAATTATAAAGGCAAGAACAAATCATGACGTGGCAACACATCCTTTAGATTTACAACTTCAACTCGCTCCACAACACCAAAAAAAAATCGATAATGAAAGGAAAAAAAAATAAAATAAAAAATAAAAGCTGCACCAGCTAGTTCAGAGAGGTAGGAGGGGATATGTTATATAGCAATAAAAAAATGTGATTCCATAGTTACCCTAGATATAGAATCATTTTTGTACGGCTACAGCCAACACAAACCAAAAGCCAAATAGAAGCACTCCATTATCCAGTCTGTGAGAACATAAATGTATAACATTCTAAGCAGCACTGTATCTCAAGATATTCTTGCACTGGTTTGTAATGAACGTTAGCTATCAATGATGTCAATCTCAAAAAAAAAGTCTAAGATTAATAAGACGATAACTAGCACTCATACATACGAAAACCTTGACATTATGATTCAAAAGGGACCAGAGTGCTCAGGACTTCATGTCTACGATCCATACTGCTATCCTTTTTCAAACGGATGAAATATTTCAATAAGCCATGTAACCATCACCACTTCCTTTTAAGCATGAAGGATGGCAATTTCAAGGTTTAACTAACAAATCAATGTTAGATTTCAATAAAGTTAATAGCAATCACTAACAAGTGATTGGAGGTCACAAATAAATTTCTCACTTGTTTGGGACATGGTAATGAATCCTTTTACTCATTAATCACCACAACAAACATCAAAGTGCATGCTGTAATTGTAAAGCTTCCTCTCTAAGAAGAAAAACGGCAGGCTCATTATACTCCCTTTCCTACTACATCCCGCTTTCTACACATCCATTCAAAAAGACATGGCATTAATTTAAACCCAGTGGCTAGCTCATGCAAATGATTTACTTTCACTTGAATACCTAGATCAAATCATTACGTTTTCACATAAAGACATTGCACTTTGATTATCAAAATTGGTTATGATCCTTATCCCTTGTTGTCTCAGCTTCTGTTTACCTAAATGGACTTTACACAGTATCTAAACTAAGAATCAGGGGCGGATCCAAGATTGGATCCAAGACCAAGTTATAAAATTTCAAGTGGGGCTAACACATGAAAAAAAAAAATTACACATAAAAACTGTTTTTAAAAATAAATGGAAAAAGAAAAATGCCTTAAAAATAAAATAAAATAAAATTCATCTTGGGCCTTGGGGGAACTACAACCCAAGCTTAGCCCCCCCTACATCCGCCCCTCCTAAGAATAATAGCAGGTTTATATCAATGCTCACTCAACATTTGCTTGAGCAGCATCAATGATAACATGAGAAAACATTAAATACGAGAACAAACTAGCATTTCCAAATCTGAACTAATAATCACATATTCAAAAATAAAAAATAAAAAATAAAATCATATTCATAGGACAGAATAATCAATTCTTCAAGGATACTTTAATTTCGTACAGAATTAACCCAATATCATGTCCTTGCTTTTTCAAACCACTCAATGCTTTTCTCTAGTCTCTCAAACCCTTAAGATGCTCCAAAATGAAAGGTACTCCTTTACATCACAAAAAGGGTGCTAGGAAGATGAGCTAGCAAAAAATGGTTATAACATATTTTCATCAGACATCAGTTTGTTAAGTCTTTATCCCTGACACTAAAAAGGACTTTTGGTAGATCTTTGATGTAACTGTCTTACACAGAGAATAACTCAGAATAAAAAAATATGAACTATAAGAATACTCAAAGTTTTAGGCCGATTGGTAGGACAAAGAAGAAACTTTCTTCTCCAATATAACATTTTTGTCTTCTCTAGATCAAACGATGATATTAATGTAATGCATCAGAGCTTCAAGTCCAAAATATTCAAACATTAAGAACAACAGGTCAAGAAAAGGAGAAAGGATTAGAGCGACCTAAACATAGAAGAAGCTTGATTGCTAGGAGAAAACTCTTTTACACCTTAAACCAACCACAAGACTTGCACTCACAATACAACCGCCATCTTCTTCATAGAATGACTTGTCCCGTAAGTGGAAACTTATGGAAGGAATCTCCTAAACCAGAATGACTCCCAAAAATTCTATTGACGCCAGTCTCCCACTTACATCTTGACAACTCACTCTCGCCACTAACATAAAGTGAAATCTACATGGAATAATCCTTTCACATACAACCTCCTGTTTCAAACTGCAGGCTAAGGTTCATCCAAAAGAGCACTTGGCCCAGTCTCAACACGAACCTCACCCCTGAAGCAAGAGTGGTTCACAATTGATTGAATTCACTTTTCACAAAACTAATTTGAATTCTTTTGATTTATATTTAAAAACAAAACAAAGTGAATAATACAAACCAAATTCAATAATATGAATCAGTGCAATGTCCAAGTTAAAACTAAAAATCCACTGAAGCCTAGGAGTTTATGTGATTAACAGTTCTGTAAAAAATAGAGTCAAAAATAAGACTCTAAATATACACATTGTTCTCACATTATTATGAGGAAATTTGGACAATGGCAAGGAGATCTTGAAAAAGAAAAATAATGTCGAAGCAAAATGTATCCGTGTGGAAGCATAGTTGATAAATCTGGCAACAAGTGTAACTAAAAGGCAATCAGAAATAAAGGCACGCAAAAAGGTTGCCATTTCCACATATGAGAAAATTATGAGATTATTTTAACAGAAGGTGATTCTTTCCCCTTTTACTAAATTCTAATTGAGGAAAATCTATGAAGCAGAAGAAACATCAGCTGCCATCCTAGTCATAAAGAAATTAGTGAAAAATGTCAACTCATGACATGTATTACTAAGCAGCTACCTGGTTCAGAAAGTGTCTTTATTATTTATGTTGTTTCAAAAGTACATGATGGATGAGAACACAAGCCAGGATAGAAACAGACTGGGAAAGCCTTATACCATCAACACATCAAAAAAAAAAAAATAATAATAATAATAATACAAATGAGATAATAGAATCACCCACTTTAATTGAGTATAAAAGAAAATCATTAAAATTTAGCTACTGACCTTAACCATTATGTCTCTCATAAAATCATATTCAAAGCGCTTAAGCTGAAGCTGAAGAACTGGAGGGAAGTCAATGAACAAGACCCCCTTCTTGGCATCCTAGGAATACAAAAATAACTCTTTAGAATAAAGTTCAATGCAAAGAAGATCATTCAAATGAACTGATAAATGCGTTGCATCGTAGACCAAGGTACACACCAAAAAAGACATATGAGCATTAATAAAACTAAAGTTCATAATATTTACAATAATCAACTTTCTCCACTGGACTGAAAATTGGGCTTTGACAGAAGAAATGCATTACAACAGAATGTTAAAACTACGAACCATCAACACAGAAAAGTATGTTCAAACAGCATAGGAAAGCCTCCCATTGAGTGACCAAAAGAATGGAGTTAACCAGTTCCTAATACTTCTCAAACTAATCAAGCATTATGAATGTAAAAAAATGCCCTTTTCCTTACATCAGAAGATTATGTAATGGATCAAAATAGTGAACATCTACCCTTCCATGTTGCCAAAAATTTACAAAATGGATATACTAGACATGAACTCCTCAGGTTATTGGTACCAGCAAGCTTCCAGCAAATCAACATTATTTGCTTAAAAAACAAAAATCTGTTGCATCAGATGAGGTGCACCTTCCAAGGTGCAAGTTGTGCTCCAGAATTTTAGAAGACTAGCGATATTCTGTAAAATTAGTGTCTAGTGGGCAAAAAAATACAAAACAAACACTACCCAATAAGCTAAGACAGGAGAAAACAGAGAAACTCAAGCATTTTGAAGTTCGAAGATGGAAACAGAAAATCAAACATGAAATGACACAACACTGACACGTCATCTCCATGCATCAAATAATTGTGCAAAAAACATGTCCATAACATACCAAAAAATAGAAGATATAAATCTACATTAAAGCAAATATTTCTTGTGATCAATTGAAATCCAGTTATTATATAGTTCGAGAAGCAGGGTTTGAGAAGGGAATGCACAAAGATAAACGACCAAGCAAGTTTTTTTTTTTTTTTTTTTTTTTTTGGAGTATGGACTGCTCGACCTACTACAACAACTTCATGCTCTTGTATAGATTGACATATATTGACTTCCTAGTATTAGAAGACGTTAGTTTGCTTCTCATTTTCTTTCTTAGCATAGGAAGTACTACTTCCCATTAATTTCATCCTTTTATAGGTTGCAGGTTGCACTGTTTTGCTTTTGGGAGATCAGGTTTATCCCCCCTTCATCTTGTTCTTGTGAGTTTGATTTTATATACGATCGAGGAATTCTAAAACCCCTATCAACCTTCCTTGGTATAGCCTGAAAACTCACTGATATCATGTTGATGTTTTGCTTATGAAAAAGTTTATTTTTCCAGATTATAAATAATCGAGAAAGAGTGTCCAATGGTGGCATTAGAAAATGCTTAATTTTTGAGACTTAAATTAGGTACGTAATAGATGTTAGAGATTTACTAATTCAAGAACAAAGCAACCAACTTTTACAAACAAACACATGAAGAAAGCAGAACTTTTTACATTGCATTCTTTGACAAATGTTATCATCTAAAGTCTAAACGGCAGATATTTGGGTGCCTATAAATTGGTTCTACTGTCAGGCAGGACTAATTCTAAAAAATACAGAGACTTTTGACCTGAAAACAGGCAGACCCCCTGCTCCAGTTTTATCCATGTCTTAAAAGGGGTTTCCTTTCCCCTTTTTTTTTTTTTTTTTTTTTTCTATTGGATGGACTTCATTAGACTCTGCTATATATCAAACAAGATTTTAAAGTGCCACAGAATACAGCCTCATGGAAACGGTATATGCAGTACAGGACAATCTACACTGTACCAAGCCATCCATAATGCACCAAAAGGACATCGATTTCTTAGATATCACCAGGTTTGTTAAAAAATTTGCTTGCTTGACTAAAACCATATTACAGCTATAGACCATGGTTTGAAAGAAGAGGAAAACAAGGTGAGCCTCAAAGCAAGGGGCACAACTTCAGTGCCTCAAGGAGCAAATTACAGTGCTATTTTATTGAGGTGGGCGCCTCAGGTTTGGTGTGAAATTTGAAATTTTTGTTTTCTTTTTCCAAGTCCAAATGTGAAGTTCAGATGAAAGAGCCTTTTTAATTGGGCCCATCTTGCTCTCAGCAAATAACAAAAAACAAAAGAAATGGGCAGACGTAGGATGCTATGGAACAATTATAGGAAAGGGGAAGGGATGAGAAGAAGAGAAAGAAAGGGGTGCAGCAAAGGAGAGAAGTGATGGCAATAGGAAATCTGTTTATTTCATATATTCAAATTGTTTTTATAACAATGCAAAAGAGCCGTTTATATAGGGTTCCAATAAACCCTGTTCTAGGTATGGAAATACAATAAAAGCCATTAAATCATATCCTCTAATTATGTTTCCTAAAATACACATCAAAATTGAAAACTGAATACTATGTTTCCATCAGAGGCCAATCAATTGTTCGATTAAACAATAAAAATACCTAAACAACCACATGCCTCCCCAATCCCCCAAGACCCAAGAAGCGTCTTCCAAAAGATTACAAGGCAAACAGTAGTTCTGAAACTCCGGCAGATATTTATTATTTTTTGTTTGTTTCTGCATTTTATCTCCTCTCTCTCTCATTTCAAATTTTTTTTTTTTATATTTCTCAAATTCTTCTTGTTTTAGTATTATTTTATCATTTATTTTTAATAGATTTTTTGGCGTATTGTTAGGCTTACGCGTAGAATGCCTCAATTACCCATGATGTCAGCCTTCTTATATTGCAATGGATGATACCTTATAAAATTAGAGATCACGGAGATAACATCACCAAATTAAGGCATAAAAAAAAGCACATTCCAGAGGGAGCAAGTTGCAGTTGCCTATAGGTGTAAGGCGGACCGGGTCATGCAGTCCTTGTCTGAGCCAGCCCAAGCAAGCATGGCAGGCCTAGCAATCAAAGCTCACACAGTGGGCTGCTTTTTTATAATAAAAAAAGGACTTGAAGCCGCATGGCTGGCCAGGCAGCCTAAATGTGGGCCTTCACCACTTTAAACCCCTAAGTTTGCCTTCCTATTGAATGACCCATTATTGCTTTTAATCAGCATCTTGATGTTTCACTTTCATGAGGACTCCAAATATATTAAAAGAAAAGAACTATTTGCATGTCTTTTAATGCCTGAACCTATAAAAAAATGAGCCCCCACATAAGGGGGAACCATAATCCTGAATTACATTCCATCTCCAAATTGTGGAAGTCAGCGAGATGCCGATCGTGACACATGTGAGGAATATATCAATTAAGAAGACAGAGCTTTATCATCTCCATGTTGAACTTTAGATCACAAGGGATTTGCAAAGTATATATTTCAGTAAGATACGGTAGATGTGTGACACTTGCCAGTCTTCAAGTTACTAAGTCCCTGTTTGGTTTAGGTAAATATCAGATTTTTAGTTGATATTAATAAGAGTTAAAGAAATGTGTGGTTGAAAAGTTGTAGGTTCCATGAAAATATGTGATTAAAATTAACTTTTGACTTTAACTTTGAATTTTTATTAACTGAACCAAACAGGTGCTAACTGTTTATTTTGATTGCATTTTATTTATTTATTTTTATTTTTTTGGCAACTTCTCCAACCACATACTTCGGGAATAAACTTGCAAAAACCAACCCCTGCCCTGAAATATACGTAATAATTAACTAAACAAATGATAATCTATCTAATCTTTTAACTTGCTACTTTGATATCGAATTTGGCCTCTTCAAAAGTGATTCAAAATCCAAGCCACCTTTTAAACTAAGATAACATAAAGGTCACACAATAGATGGGTAACATAACTCGAAAAACCGGGAAAATTTATTTTTATTTTTTTGGCAACTTCTCCAACCACATACTTTGGGAATGAACTTGCAAAAACCAACCCCTGCCCTGAAATATACGTAATAATTAACTAAACAAATGATAATCTATCTAATCTTTTAACTTGCTACTTTGATATCGAATTTGGCCTCTTCAAAAGTTATTCAAAATCCAAGCCACCTTTTAAACTAAGATAACATAAAGGTCACACAATAGATGGGTAACATAACTCGAAAAACCGGGAAAACGTAAAAAAAGGATATGCACAAATTTAATCCACATTAGTTAGGTGAAGTAGGGTCTATGACATTGGATTGTCGCACATCCGAACACCAAGTTGGCAAAAGACACCTCATTGTAGTTTACTACAACATTACAGGTTAGAAAACTTGATATACTGACAAGCCGCTAGCTTACTATCAGTTTTTATTCTATAACCACACACACGAATATGACATAGACACACCAACACATAATTATGTAAAAAATTAAGACACGAACACATTGGTGTTAATCGAAATGATGTAAATTTCAATTTATTATTTTTTTTCACCAAAAAAGACAATAATAATTTTTAGTTTTATATACAAAATTGAAAACTTTGCTCATTTTCTTTTCAGTTTCTGAAACACAAATTTATATTACTGCAACCTAATAACCACACACACGAATATGACATAGACACACCAACACATAATTATGTAAAAAATTAAGACACGAACACATTGGTGTTAATTGAAATGATGTAAATTTCAATTTATTATTTTTTTTCACCAAAAAAGACAATAATAATTTTTAGTTTTATATACAAAATTGAAAACTGATTCAACGAAGAAAGATTCTAATCAATTAAAAGAACATTTTTTCTAGTTTGACCTGCAAGCATCCTCCAATTAATTCAATTGAAACTTCATTTCAGGTCCATTTGCCTCCCAATTAACTCAAAAGTATTTTTCATTTCACATATCCATCTGAGCCTAACATGTCCCCCATCCAGAAGCCCAATTTCACTTCCCCCCTCCCCCACTCTATCCCAAATTCCCAGAAGCATCCATCCCTCCCCATCTCTCCCACTTCTGCCCTCTTCTCAGCAACCAAACATCTCTCTGCCCACCATTTCTTTGTTGTCTAGACTCTGCGTATTTCTGCCACAGACACGTGTCCAGATTTAAAAAATAAAAAATAAATAAATAAATAGAGACCTGTATCCCTCCCCGTCTCTCCCACTTCTGCCCTCTTCTCGGTGACCAAACATCTCTCTGCCCACCATTTCTTTGTTGTCTAGCCTCTACTTATTTCTTCCACAGAGTGTCCAGATTAAAAATAAAAAAAAATAGGGTGTGTCCGATGTGTGTCCGAGACATGTCGACCAGCGACACTTAGGCTTTGGTAGTGTGTGGGACTGCATCAGGAAAAAGATAGGTTGGTATCACTCAACTCAAGATGATCCTTTTTTCTCCATTGAAAATACCACTAAGAGAAAGCACTACAAGTGAACACACACAAATTATGTCATCCTCCATCAGAGGAGTATCAAACCTGCAAACCATGTTCTTCGGCATGATATTTATTATCTCCTTCAAGACGTTCAACTTCCACGTATTTGTCAAAGGAGGCATAGATATCCTTGCAGCCTTTGACATCCAGTTGAAGGTCTGCCACCACATGTACAAGAATAAGTTCATCTGTCTAACATTAAGAAATAGAGAACAACTCTGGGAAACAACTAACCATAAAATGATTCTTTTCGGGTAGACTTGAAGTCTACATTGATACATTCGATGTAGTTCATGTTGTTCCCTTCAAACAACTTTTGTATTGTCCCTTCAACAACAGTTCCCTGTGCCAATAAAGACAATTGAAAATAGGTCATCGGTCAATTTATCATAACATTATATGAGAATCACGGACATTGCAAAGAAAGGAGAAATGCTGTCGGAACCATACCTTCATCTTGTCTTCAAGCTTTTCACACAAAACTCTATTAAGTTCTTGTACATCATGCTGCATAAAGGAATCATATGTGTCCCATCCAAAAGATTTAGTCAATTCTTTTGTAGCCACACTGGTGTCATTATATTGGAGCTTATAGAATAAACTCTGTAAGGCCAAAGGTATGCTCCCCGAGGGCATATCATTCTCTGTCGTGGGCATATGATACACAGCCTGATACAACAGGACAAATTAAGGCTTCTTCAATGTTTACGCAATAAATAAACTCACAAGTCAAACTATTTTGCAAATCATGACCAACCTTTCTGAAATAAGGGATGTGGTACAATGTTTGGAGGAGAGAGTTCATGTAACAAGTTGCTCCTTGATTCTTAAGTCCAACATAACCAGTCTCCTTCTTCGAGTCATATGTCAAGTAATCAATGACCTTCCGGACAGCAACATCAGCTTGCACAACACATGTATCATTAATGAGATACCCCTTACTGGGGTCATAAAGCTCACTGAGAGGCATGAAAGAAGTGAAACCCCAATCACTCTCCCTTTGACTGAACTGGTGCTGTGTGTCTGTTGAATCCACAAAATAGAGTTATATATCACAGTATACGTTATAAACACTACTTGCATGGTTCATGTGAGAAGAGGGATAGATAAGTCTCAGGTTCCTTCAAAAAGAGATCATCATCCACTTATCAAATTTTTACACTGTTGAAGCATATAAGGACAAAGTGATTACTCTGCAAGATTATTATAATCTTCACTTCGATAACTCTACCAATAGCATGGAAACTTGTCGACAAGGATCTAAATAGTAATCAATGAACAATATGCCCGAAACTAATTTTTTAAAAGAGGGAATATTAAACATGCAATTCAAGAAAAGGGAAATAATGTAAAAACCACATGTGTATACCTTTTGAAGACTGGTTTTTAGTTAGTCGCGTAATACCTAACCCCTTCCAACAAACAAGGTTGTTTTGAGCTAAGTAATAAGGCATGAACAATGCAAAAAATTCTTAATGGCAAATAAACCGGTCTGTTAATGAGTACAATGGGTCCACTTATATTTTATCCTTCCAGGTTATATTGCAAATGAACATTCCTTCTCCTTTTTCTTATTGGGGGATTCAATTGTGGAATTACAACACATGGTTCAATGAAATTGGTAAAAAAATAATAAAAACAATAAAAAAAAATAGAATATGAAGCAAGCAAAAGCTACATGGGCGTAAATAAGAAGCAGATAGCGATTAAGGAAAATCTTTGATGTGAATAAGGAAACAAAAGTGAATGCAAGATCGTGTTTTAGCTGCAAGAGGAAAATTAGAAATTGGATAGAAGCGCTAGGAGATACCCTTTTTTATAGTATACTTGCTATGGATTTGGTTGATAATAGCCAAGCTAAACTGTGCATATCTAGTCCAACCAAATGGCAAGGTTGCTGAATCGGCCACATCTAAATACATTGACAAGTGCTCCACGTTGTTTCCTTTCGGAAAAATAAGCACCCGCCTGACCAAGATAATAAAAGTCAAAAAGAAGTCAGGTAGAGGGATAACATAAACAAGAGTTCTCTTCTTAATATGCACCAACTAATATATCCTTCCTAAATCTTAATACAGTGCGAAATGGATTTACCATTTATAACCTCCAACGACAAAAACCTCAGAATAGAGCTTCTTCACATTCAAGCGAGAAAAGTTCTCAATCGCCCATGTGAACCGTGATGCTTGTGGCTCATCACTTGCCTGGTTTTCCGTTGCCCCAGCATTGTTCGTTGGTGCCACTGGTATATCATACACAAATTCAAAACCCAATTCAGTAGCATCAATGCAAATAAAAGAAGTTGGAAGAACATTTATTGCCAAATGTAACTCAGAAACCAATCAATTGAAACAGCACTTTGCCGGTATGCACTCATGTTATATCTATAGAGATTTATTTAATTAAGCACCATGGAGCAAAGGCAAACCTTCCATAGGCTGAGGAGTTTCTACTAAAGGCTGAGGACCTTCAACTAAATCTGAGTTTGGCACCAGCATCTCTTCGTCTTCCTGTTGCTAAAATACCAAAATAAAAAAAGCAAAAACAATATTCAAGTTAGATCCAGTAAACCCTAGCCTTTTGCCGCTAATAAACCCCAAGACTTTCCTCAGTAAGTAAATTGACATAATTTAGCAAACTTCTCAATTCTGCGACTCAAACCTCCCTTTCCATTACCCAAAAACCCTAGTTGATCACAATCTCCCAGTCCCCATTCACACACACACACACACACACACACACACACACACAGAGATAGAGAGAGAGACACACAGGCACAGCAAATTGTACCGCATAAAACAGAATTAAAAAAAAAAAAGTTAAAATGGAAATATAGATGCAAGCATATGCAGGGATAAATAGATAACGAAAGTGAGCGAGTAGTGAAAATTGGAGAAAGAGATGGGAGTTACATCCAAAGGTTGAGGAGCCATCATCGTCATGATTGGAGAAATTACAGCCGTCCGATCGATGAATCACGGAACAAATAATATAATTTGAGAAGAGAAAGAGGAGGGTATAGAAATATTGTTGAAACAGAGAGATTGCTTCTGGGTTTTCTGTGTTTTGGTTCACGATTGGACACCTGGGGATTTGGAATAAAGATGAATTAGTGTACACTACGGGAAACGGTTGTTGTATGCGATAGTAGGGGGTACTTCTAAAAATACCAGTCAAACCTCGTACATTTCACTTTAACTTTTTAACCACTTCATATTTTTACATTTACAATGATTTTTTTTTTTTTTATATTCAGCTATCCCAACTTACACTAAACTAAATTCTGGACCTTCAAAATCCATGTCCCTAGAACATTGAAGGGGTTAAATCGCGGGTTATGCCTCAACTGGATCACTGGTTCCTCCCATTGACTGTACACTTCGCGCACAAGAGACCCTCCTCCATAGTGATTGCTCCATACCAAATTTTTGGCCGCAAGTTCCCACCAGGAATCGAACTCTCCACCCTGCCGCTGAAAGCAAGCCAATATTAATTGATCCACCAGTTAAGCTGTGCACCGAGGGGCTACAATGATCTTTTGAATGATAAAAATAAAGATGTCATTAAACATGTAATACAATTATAAAATATTATTATTAACAAATATTACTATCATTTTAATTAACAAGTGAAAATCAAACACTTTCCACTTTAAATTTCAAATCAGCTCATTCCTCTTATTTGTTTACTACAACACAGATAAAACTATCTCATCTTACATCTTCTTAAACCTCAAAATCTCGAAAACTTATCGAATGATGAACAAGAAAATATTTTTTTATAATAATCATTTCGAATTGATAAGTATATTTAATTTTTTTTGCATTAAATTAGTATACATTTTTAATCGATAAATCTTATTTTAACATAAACTAATCTGTAAATAAATTTTTAATAGATCTATAATTTTTTTTAAGTACGAACAAGAAAAAAATTCATTTGCATATATGAATTATTTTAGGGCGAAAGTAACAACCGACTGTAAAACAAGATGTTAAAAGTTAGTTCAATCGACTTAATTTTTTTGAATAAATTTCTATTGCCCAGTGGCAGAGCCGAATTTTGGACTATTTTTTTTATGATTAAAAATTATTCCAAAAAAAATTATAATAAAAATAAAACAAATTTAAAAGAAAAAATAAATGAGGGAAAATTAGTCCGACTGTCGACCTAAACCATATGCAGTTGGTATGGACCGAAAACAGTCAACATAGACCAATTGTTTTTAAAAATAAAAAATAAAAAAATGAATGGGCCAACAAGTGGCCCAAATTGTTTTAAAAAATAAAGGGATAATTAGGCCCAATACTCTGAATACTTAAAAGATTAGATCAAGGGAAAATTAGGACCAATACTCTAAAAATTTAAAAGATTAGATTAATACCCTAAATAAAAATTAAACTTTGTATAAACTGTATTATTTACGTCTTTATTAAAATCCCCAAACCTCAACCCTTTTCCTCGCTGCAAAAACCCGCACTTGATTCATGCTCCGAAATAAAAAAACTTTGACTCTGAATTCTACAATAGCCGGAGACAATGACTTGAAGATAAAAATAATTATTGATGAAGAAGCATCTTCGAAGAAGAAGAAAATAATTTTTTCAAAACTTTATAAGGAATTTGATCTTTGACTCTGAATTCTACAATAGCTGGAGACAATGACTTGAAGATAAAAATAATTATTGATGAAGAAGCATCTTCGAAGAAGAAGAAAATAATTTTTTCAAAACTTTATAAGGAATTTGATTGTATATTCCACTTTCAATCATTAAGGAACCAGATTTCTATTTTTGGCACAATGAGACAGATTGATTTCATTGGACATTCATAAGAGGTAGTTTTGGATTGAATGAGCGATGGTAGCAAGGAATTCATGTAACAGACCCCAAGTTTACATAGAACAAGAATTGGGTATTGTTGTATTATGTAATTTGCATATGTTCAATAATTCTCTTGTATGTTGTTTATTCTTAGCTAATTGGTTGGTTAATCTCTTTAATTGCCCTAATATGTCCAAACTCCATGCTTTTGTTATGCTAAATGGAACTCTGTTAAAGGCTTGCACTTTTGGTATTTAAGGTCCAAAAAATCACCTGCAAGTATTTGATCGAAAACTTATTCTTTCAATTGGATAGTTTTGGAGATAGAAATCTTAGCACAAATAGTTTAAATGTGTGATTTATATAGTAGCAAGGAATTCATGTAACAGACCCCAAGTTTACATAGAACAAGAATTGGGTATTGTTGTATTATGTAATTTGCATATGTTCGATAATTCTCTTGTATGTTGTTTATTCTTAGCTAATTGGTTGGTTAATCTCTTTAATTGCCATAATATGTCCAAACTCCATGCTTTTGTTATGCTAAATGGAACTCTGTTAAAGGCTTGCACTTTTGGTATTTAAGGTCCAAAAAATCACCTGCAAGATTTGATCGAAAACTTATTCTTTCAATTGGATAGTTTTGGAGATAGAAATCTTAGCACAAATAGTTTAAATGTGTGATTTATATGCTCCTGATCGAAAACTTATTCTTTTCAGTTGGATAGTTTGGTATTTAAGGTTATCTTGCTGGTTTTGTTGTTTGGCAATATAGAGTGGAAGGTAAGGGGATATGGCGAGTTGTCATGGCTCCTACTTCAAGCCCTTCTCCATCAATAAAGGCAGCAGAGAGTGTAGAAATTCAAGTGCTACTTGTGAGTAGTCTCAAGGTATTAGGGCAATGAGGATGGAAATATTGTTGGAAGAGCTATACAATGTGAGGTGGAGAGATGTTTATAAAAAGCGACTAGCAGATCTTGGTTTTTCAAAATGGTCGATGTGGAGAGAGATGTATAACCTTTTTTTTATTGTTCATCACATTTGTGTCACTTTTTATATTTTGTTACTTTTTTTAGGTTTCTGTCACTTTTTTGGAATTTTTTACTCTTTTTTTAGTGTTCGTCATTTTTTTTGAAATTTTGTCACTTTTTTTAGTGTTTGTCACTTTTTTTTCAATTGCCTTCTTGAAATTTCTATCACTTTCTTTAGCGATAGATATCACTTTTTTAATAAAAATGAGATTGTATTTCATATTTTAATATAAAAGTGACATTAAACTTTTAAAAGTGACATTGTGTCTTCTTTTTAAATTTGTCGCTTTTTTAAATTTCTGTCATTTTTTTTTTAAATTTTGTCACTTTTTTAAATATTGTCACTTTTATTTTTGAATTTGTCACTTTTTAAGTGTTTGTCATTGTCTTCAATCGCTTTCTTAAAATTTCTATTTCTTTTTTATAGTGACAAACATCATTTTTTTAATAAAAATGAGATTGTATGTTATTTTTTAATATAAAAGTAACACTAAACTTTTAAAAGTAACATTGTGTCACTTTTTTTTAAAAAAGTGACAATTTTTATTAAAAAATAAATAAATTAACATTGTGCCACTTCTTTTTATTTTACACGGTATTTTTTACTTCAAAAAAACTTTCATATGATTTTTTAAAAAGCCCCTGATTTTAAGGGTATTTTTGTAAGCTGTCCAAAAATAAATTAATTAATGAGTCAACTGTTAATAGGCCTAGACATTTTAAAAAAATAATAATAATGGGCTTAGTAGTCGGGCCAATTGCTGGGCTGTTTTGGTTGACTGCCAAAACAGTTTGCTTTAGCCCAACTGTGTTGCTAACTGTTCTTTCCAGAAATGGCGAGAAACATTTCTGACGACTAAAGGTCCTTTTTTTTTTTTTTTTACTTAAATCCATCCTAAACCCAATAATTTACCTAAATAATGAAGAATAAACATTATAAATAATAATTTAAATCACAAATTCACAAAACATGTAAAGTAAAAAATCATTCTCTTAATCCTATAAAAAAATTAACCTTGTTGAAGATAATAACCGAATTTTGTGGTTGTTGGCATTGGACAGATTGTGAGGATACCAACTTCGACTGGATCCGACTGTTATAGCTGACCGTGTGAAACTTTTTTTTCCTTCCCTTTTTTCTCTCCCCTCCTTTCTTTGTTGAAGATGAGGGCAATTTTGGCAAATGATACATAAAAATTCTATTTTATTTTTTAACTTTTTTTTTTAAATGGTTAAAGACCATTGTGGAATGTGACGGGGTCAACCGACCATTTCCATGTATTTCCTCCAATTGTAGTCTGGTTTTTAGAGATAGCCAATGATGAAACACTTGTATTTTAGGTTTTTTTATACTAATCAGAGTTGAACGTGCTTTATAGATTATTTTGAAATATTTTATAAGTATTATAAAACTAACACTTGATATCAAATTGTTGAGAGGAAAAAGAAAAAAAAAATTCAAGAGAAGAAAATTGTACCATCAAAACTTAATTTCTATAATTCAATTTTTTATGATGAAATATTACAAATGAGTAACATTTTTATACTATATTTAGTACATAAAAATTAATTGCTTATACATGAATTTAAACATTCATTAAAATTCCTAAATACATGAATATAAATAAATTTATCTATAATAACTCTAATTTAAGAAGATCAAGAATTATCAAGTCAAAATTTACTGAGTGCAGATTAATATGAATATTAATTAATTGAGAATTAATAACATGAAATTCTTATACGGCAATGAAATTGTAGTATTTGTTATATATTGAAAAATAAAAAATAAGGTATTATTGAAACAATTGAATCGTAGTATGATTAAAATAGCCAAAAAAATGATTCTCACTTGATGTGCGATAGAAGACATCTCTATATATATACACACACACATACATATGTATTTTAATTTTGGACAGTCTCCTCTCCTTGTTGTCCAAAAAATGGACTAGGAATCGTAAAAAAGAATATTAAAAATATTTTTTTGAATTGATTGGCCATTTTAATTTGACAAAAATAAAGTTTTGAATAATAAAATTTGAAGAATGTGTGATTAAATTGTTTTGAAAAGTTTTAGATTTACATGCAAGATATTTTATTGTATGAATGTGTAATTGAAAATGAGTATGTAGATAAAAAACTTTGAAATAAATTCCATCAAATAGACCTAATTTCCTTATTTTTCTTTCATTTTTTCAACTATCTAATGTAAATATTTTACCTAATTTCCTTATGTCTATGGCGGACTAGAGCTCTTTTTGAGTCCCTTG